GCACGATCAAAGACGACAAGGGCAGGCACCGCGGTTTGGGATACACATATTGATTGGCATGTGAGCAGATAGCAGGGACACATCGTAAAAGGATGGTCGTGATTGGTGTTGTTGTTGTTGCTGCTGCTGCTGTTGTTGTCGTTGTTAATCATTATTGTTGTTGCTGTTTTGGTTGTTGCTGCTGCTGCTGCTGTTGTTGTTGTCGTTGTTGTTGTTGTTGTTGTTGTTGTTGTTGTTGTTGTTGTTATTATTGTTGTTGTCGCTGTTGCTGTTGGTGTTGTTATTGTTGCTGTTGTTGTTGCTGTTGCTGTTGCTGCTGCTGCTGTTGTTGTTGTTGCTCTTGTTGTTGCTGTTGCTGTTGCCGTTGCCGTTGCTGTTGTTGATGTTGCTTTTATTGCTGCTGTTGTTGTTGTTAATGTTGTTGTTGTTGTTGTTGTTGAACATTATTAATTCTAAAGAATAATTATTGTTGGGCCCCCTGGTGCGCGCCCCCCCTGCGCCGCCTAGGCCGCAGCTACATTTTCATCATTTTCGTGAGGAAGCCTCAGGTAATTCGAGTTGATCAAGATCCGGTTGTTTTGTTGTAATCCGTTTTCCCTTGCAAAAAACACTATAAAATGACATTTCTTGTTCTAATATAATCAAATTTCAAGAATCCCTTGCAAAAAATAAGGTAAAGTGGACATTCGCGCGCGCAAGACGAAATCCTTCCAAAAGCTTAGTGTTCGGAGCGATTTTAACATAAAAACATCAAAAAACCAATGGTTTTTCAACAAAAAAATGTCAAAATCTCATCCCGCGCGCTCTTGCGGATTCGTAGGAAACCAACACTTTTTAAACATTTCTGTCAAACGGGCTTTTGCGAGCAACTTTTTCGAACTTCTGCGACAACGGTTGCGCACCTGCCAGGGCCATCATCCCTGTCAAATAATACCATGCGGGACACATTCGTTTTTTCTTCGCGCGCGCACGCCGAAATCTCCAAAAACCATTGGGTTCTTAAGTTCTGTGGGTGTGTACCCCACGCCAGTGTAGTAGCCACGGTCGTCCGCACGCCACGAAGTGAAGTGTCCCAACGTCATAGGGCGGGAAGCTGGGTTTGGGTGGTCGCGAAGAGTCGTTTGGATATTTGGTAGAGCTTGTAATGCCCCCCCACGAAGTGGGGGTATTGCCTGGTGTCGTATGAAAACCCTGGCACTGGGGAGAACACCACGCGTTCGGGTAAAATGATTGTTGTTGTTGTTGTTGTTGTGGTGGTTGTTGTTGTTCTTGTTGTTGCGGTTGATGTTTTTGGTGTTGTTGTTGTTGCCGTGTAGTTGATCCCCCTCAGCGGTGCATGCTGTTTTTCTTAATACACGTGTGCCCCTCGACGCTCGCACCTTGTGTTTTGACAGGGAAAGTATTCGTGCTCAAACTGGGCCCCTGCCCCCCCGGATTATAACAACAACGGCTCTCGCCTGAGACTTCCTCCAAATTTATTCAGGACCCCCGCTCCTGAGACTTCCTCGCAATTTTCTCAGGATCGGTGCTCCCGCCGATGACTTCCTTGCAATTTAGTCAGGACCCCCGCTCCCATCTGAGACTTCCTCGCAATTTTCTGAGGAACGGCGCTCCCGCTTGAGATTTCCTCGCAATTGAATCCGGATTTTGCGCAATTTAATCAAGACCCCCGCTCCCGCCAGAGAGCCCGTCAACTTTTATCCAGGAATTGCGCTGTCGCCTGTGACTTACATGCAATTTATTCAGAAATCGCGCTTCCGACCCTCAGGAAACACGCTGCGCCAGGGACGCCGCCACAATTTACTTAGTAATCGCGCTCTCGCCATACTCAGGTATCCCGCTTGAATGTCCCACCCGCCCGACCCGCCCGTCAGGGGATCGCCCGCCCGTCGTGGGCTCCCGCCCGAGACTTCCTTCAGGAACGGCGCTTTCGCCTAGGACTTCCTCGAACGTTCACGCTCTTACCTTCCTGCTCCTCCTCCCTCTCCCTCCTCCCTCCTCCCTCCTCTCCTCCCTTCTCTCTCCCTCCTCTTTTCCCTCATCCTTTCGTGGTTCGGGTGGCCTCTTTCGGCACTCTCCAGGAGGGCGACTGCGACTGCTCCTTGCAGCCTTACTCTCCCCGCGGTGTCTTTTCCCCCTCGTCCCTGCTTCTGCTTCTCTTGCTCTCTTCCTCCTCGTCCCCGTCTTCGTCTTTGTCCTCCCTCCCCCCTGCTGCGCTATGTTGGTTTCCTGGGGAGGTGACCCCTGGGGGGCGCTCTCGTTGCCGCGACGGGGTGCGGCAGGGAAACTGCGTCTCTGCTCGGCTTGGCTCGGGGTTCTGCCCTCTTCTGTCCGTCCCCCCCCCCCCTTTCGCGCCCTCCCCTGTCGTCCTTGCGCCCCCCCCTCCCTCCGGATTGTCTGGAGGGAGTGCGTTGAGGATCCCCTGATCTTCCTAGCCCCTCCCCATCTCCGGGGGTGCTGGGTTCTCCCACCTGATGGGAGCTGGGAGTGGTGGAATTTCCAGGGCTCCCCGTCCACTCCTCCGTCCAGACTCAGCCGCCTTCGCCCTCGCCCTGCCGTCTCCGGCTGCTCAGTGCGCCCTGGCCTCAAGGGGATCAGGTAGGACTGAGGCCGCGGAGGTGGGTCGAGGGCGGGGGCAGCGGCTTGAGCCACCGCGGCTTGAGCCACCGCGGCTTGAGCCACCGCGGCATCCCAGTGCTTCCCCTCCCCCCCCCTTCCGTCGGAAGAGGCCCGAGAGGAGTAGTGTGAAGGTGACCTCTGGGGCATCCCAGTGCTTCCCCTCCCCCCCCTCCCGTCGGAAGAGGCCCGAGAGGAGCAGTGCGAAGGTGACCTCCGGGGCATCTCAGCGCGCCCCCCTCTCTCCGGATGGTGTCCCCTCGCTTCTCGTCTGCCTCCTGCTCCCTTCTCCCTGCTCCTTCCTTCTGGGGCGAGGCCAGCGAGAGCGAGCCCAGGCCAGTCCGGGCCTGCCCAGGCCTGCCCGGGCCAGCCCAGGCCAACCCAGGCCAGCAGAGGCCATCCGAGGCCAGCTCAGGCCAGCCCCGACCAGCCCAGGCCAGCCTGAGCCAGCCGCGGCCAGTCCGGGCCAGCCGAGGCCAGCCCGGGCCAGCCCAGGCCAGCCCAGGCCAGCCCAGGCCAGCCATCCTTTTCTCCCTCTTCCCTCCTCCCTCGTCCCTCGTCCCCGTCCTCTCCTCCGTCCAGACTCAGTCGCCTTCGCCCTCGCCCTGCCGTCTCCGGTTGCTTAGTGCGTCCTGGCCCCAAGGGGGTCAGGTAGGACTGAGGCCGCGGAGGTGGGTCGGGGGTGGGGGCTGGGAGCGGATCCGGATGGTCTCCACCACCCACGCTGGCAGACTGCGGTATGCCTTGCAAGGACTGGATGGCTGACCCCAGGGCGGATCCCTTTTACAGCTCCCTGTCCGCACTCACGTGCGCTCACTCGGGAAACCCTTGGTGCAAGGTGGGATGCCCTCCATCCCCTGCTTCCCCTGGGATCGCCAGGGAGGTGGGGGGGCCCTCCTTCCACCAGAGCTGTTGTCCCCTGTGCGCGGATGTGGGAGCCGACTGAGGTCAGGCCGCGGCTGGTCCACCTCCCGGCTGCCCTCGGGGGTGCTGTCCCTGCAGCCCTCAAAGAATGCCCACAGTGGCCACCAGCCAGCCTTACGCCTCTCTGCCCTATCCTCTCTCCCTCCCCTCCCTCCTCCCTTCTCCCTCCGCTCTCTTGCCTCCTCCCTCCCTCTTTCTTTCTTTCTCTCTCTCCCCCCTCTCTTATATTTTTGCCCCTCTCTCTCTGTGCCTCTAATCAAATGCCCCCCCTCTTCGCTCCTTCTCTCCTGGCGTTTTCCCTCTTCCTTCGTCCCTCCCCCTCCCTGCCTCCCACTCTTCCTAGTTCTCCTCTCCTCTTTTTGTAGGGCCCACACCACTTCCAATGGCGGGCACATGTACGCCCACGAAGGATTGTCCGCCCGTTCAGGCTTGCCCGCCTGTCTCAGCCTGCCGCCCCCCGCAAAGAGAACATAATACCCCCCAAAGGGGTGTGATCGAAGACGAAAAGGGCGGGTATCGAGGGTGTGGGGAACTCGTTTTGAATGACACACGGGCAAGTAAGAACGAGCAGTCTTAGAATTATTGTTGATGCTGTTGTTAATGTTGCCACTGCGTCTGCTGCTGTTGTTGTTGTTGTTCGTAGTGCTAGTGTTGTTGTTGCTGTCGTGGTTGTTGGTTTCGTCGTCGTTATTGTTGTTGTTGTTGTTGTTGTTGTTGTTGTTGTTGTTGTTGTTGTTGTTGTTGTTGTTGCAGGTGTTGTTATTTTTGTTGGTGTTGTTGTGATTGTCGTTGTCGTTGTTGTTGTTGTTGTTGCTGCATGTGTTGTTGTTGCAGGTGCTGTTGTTGTTGTTTGTTTGATGTTGTTGTTGTTGTTGTTGTTGTTGCTGTTGTTGTTGTTGTTGTTGTTGTTGTTGTTGTTGTTGTTCTTGTTCTTGTTATTGTTGTGGGTGTTGATGCCGTTGTTGCTATTGTGTGTGATGTTGTTTCTGCAGGAAAGACGCTGGACTTATATACATTTAGCGTTCAGGAGGGGCTCTGGTTTTCGTGCCGCTCCTCCGATCCAGGTCGGGGAGCCTGTTCGGAACCGAGGCCAGCCGCGGCCAGGAAAGATGACATACATATAACAACTCGAAGGTCCGCGCGGATTTCTTGGATCCGCGCAGGACCCCTCTCCCTGGTTCGCCGGAGGCGCCGCCAGGGGGTCCCAGCGCCGATCCGAGAAATCCGCGCGGATCTCCGAGCTTTTTTAAAATGTCGTTCTTCGTTCCTCACGCAGCGTTCCTAGAAGTACAGTGGGGGCCCCGAGAAGTCTTATAGTACATGCGTCGTGGCGGGTGCTTTCTGGCCAAGCCGCTCGGGAAACGATGTACCACAATATGGGTATACTATCTGTTCGGGTCGGACACGCGCCTCCAAGGAGGACACATGGTATTAGTATGTCTCTGTGCGTCCCACTCCAGACCACCAGCGGCAGCGGCTTCATCGAGATCCTGATGGCCCGGCGGCTCCAGAGGATACGATGGCTTGGAATCGAAGCAGAACAAAACGCCCTCTATCCATGCCTCTACCCTTCGGCTGTTTTCTCCTTTTTCGGCCTCCTGGGCCTCCCTCGTCGCCACCGCTGGATTCGCCTCGGGATCCTGGTCAGAACGCACCCCGGGAGAGCTCTGGGGAGTAGCAGTATCGGTACCTTTTGGTGTCTCCAAAACGTTGGTTTGGAATCGAAGAGGAACAAAAAACATACACTAAACTTTTTGGCGCTCCGCGCGGATTTCTTGGATCCGCGCTGGGCCCCCCCCCTGGCGGCGCCTCCGGCGTCGCCCCTGACAGATCGCAGGTCCAATAGATCCGCGCGGAGCACCAAAAGTCTACGTTCATCGCGGTTTTTCTTCTGCTATGGAAGATCATGGATTCGCCAGATGGGGACAAGGCACCCATACCGCTATTCCTGGATCCGCCACCGCTGGATCCGCCTCGAAACTCCGGCCAGAATGCAGCCCGGGAGATGTCCGGGGAGTTGTGGTCTTAGGACCTCTTGGTTTCCCCAGCTTCGGTGGTCTTGCCTGACGCGTCGATCGAGCTAAGGCGAGGCCTTGTTTCTTCTTTCGCTGGCAGCCTCGGCACTGTGACCGAAAGCCGCCCCTCGCCCTGGCAGCTCTGGCCACAGTTCTCGGATGAGCATGAGGTGGGACCGCCTCTGGCTCCCGCTCCAGTCCTGGGTGTTCTTCACGGGGTCCAGGAAGGCCTTGCTTTGCCTTGATTTGAACGTATCTGCTTTGCTTGCAGTGCAGTGCTATCGGCTGCCTGCGTTGCTCTGCTTTGCAGAAATTCATTGCGTCGCTTCGCTCTGCTATGCAATGCACGCGATGCGTTGCGTGGCAGCGCCTTTCACTGCCTGGCTCCTCTTAGATTTGCACTGCGTTTTCTTTGCTATGTTTTGCAAGTGTATGCGTTGCTTTGTTTTGCATTCTGCTGCCACCGTGCCCTGGTCGTTGACGAAAGGCGCAGTACCACCTGTTGGATCGAGAAGTGCGGGACCCGATAGAGGACCTCGACGCACCCAGGCCCTCTCACGCGCAGATCCACTCATCGTCAAGCGGCATGGTCAGACTCACTCATATCCGCGCTTGATGGGGGCTCCACCGGGGGGGATCACTGGGTGAGTGGGGGTGCGGCGTATCCACAGAGACCTACATCCCCTCTCTGGGTGCCCACGCATCCTGATGTTTTGCCGGGGTGTGGGCACCTCCCCCCCGCACCGCCCGCATGATCAGGACCCGCGCTTGCTCGCGCGCAGACGGATGGACGCAGTGTCGGCGCGCTGGTGCACGCGCGAACTGAACGCGGAGGTCCAGCACGGGATTCGAATTTTCTGGCGACATCAGATTGGGCGATACATGTGGCTGCGGGGAAGTCCCAAGCGAAATCGTCACTTTCTGCTCGGATGCATCGGGTCTACAATCGTGGTTTTGAGGATGCCCCAAGCGAACTAACCAGTCTCCGGTGGCTTGGAAATGGAACCGGGTAGTTTTGTCGGAGGAAATCCTAAGCGAAATCGCCATCAACCGTTAGCCCCGAAAAGCGATTGGGGAGTTTTATGTGAGGAAATATTTGGCGGAATCCCGATTCTCCGGTTCCCACCCCATTTGGCGATCATAATATTACAGGCGAGGATAGAGGAACCGGAGAAGCTCGATCCCGCCCAATACTTCCTCCGAAAACATTATCCGGTCGCCTTCTTGAGCGACCGGAGAATTCCCGGGCTGGTCTCTTCAATGTTGTACCCGGGCCCCGGGGCCTAACGGGGCCTAACGGGATCATCGTCGCACATCTTGTGCGACCTTTTTGGTTTTCGCTTTTTAATCCAGCAGGTTGTAGAGGCCTCTTTTTTGGTCTCATGGGTGGCTCTCGGGGGTCCCAGAGGCCTCCTTGGGGTCTCGTGGGAGCCTCTTGGAGGTGCCTCAGGGGGCCTCTGTGGCGACTCTCCGGGGCCTGCTGGCGTTCTCTGGGGACATTTTGGGGTGGACAGCTTCAAATCCAATGTCACCATCGCCATGAATTTATACACGACCACCGCCTTGAGGATCAAGTTTGGGGGGCCTCGGCAGGCAGTGGATGTGGACATATTCGGGCCCCTGGGGTCCAAAATCTGTCCATATCCGCCGCCTGCTGGGGCACCAGGACGTCGGCTCCCAGGCGGCGGATGTGGATAAATCCCCGCTTCGCACCGAAAAGTGGAGAGTTCAAATGTCATGCAGCACTTTGTGCGTCTTGTGAGTGTTTTCGGGGCTTCTCGGGCCGTCCCCGGGGCGTCCGCCAGGAGAGCACCAAGATGGTCCCTGGGAGGGCAGCCTAGCATTAAGTTGGGCTTGTCCCGCTACAGGAGGGATATTGAAAAATAGTAAGAAATAGTCTGGGGACGATTTGTTGTTTATTCATGGGCATCTTGGGAGTATGTTTTTTGAGTATTTGTAAGTTGTCGCCCAAATCTTGCTGTATGGGGACATGCCTAGCACACGTCAGAGGTGTGGACTCCCAACTCGGGACGATCGTCATGGGTACGGAAAAGATGGGTACAATGCCCAACAGCAGTTCCTGTTTATTTTGAACAGGACTCCTCGTCCGCGCCGCCGCGGGCGTTGATCTCTGAAGACTAGAAGCCGCCTGCCCAACAGCGGCCGCTGTCGGTTTGGGAGAACATTTGTTGTTAGGTACAGCGCCCATTTTTTCCGAACCTGTTTCGGGCGTCCAAACCAACGGTGTTCCCGAGGCCTCTTGCAAATTTACGCGGGAAGCCTTGAGCAGATCCGAGAGTTTGGGTTCTTGGACCCTTGAAGGATACTTGTAGCGCTCAATACTGAGGATTCGGACGGGGCACTGAACTCAGTGCATGCGGAGCGGTGGCGAATTTGTGTGCGACGCAATGTGGGCAGGTCCTGGAGGAAAGGAGGGGGTACATCCACAAGGAATCGAGTGGCACATTCTTGGGGATCCTGGCCTCGCGAATCCGTGGCCAGTGTTTTTTTTGTTGTTGTTATTATTATTATTACTATTATTATTATTATTATTATTATTATAATAACGACGGCACACTTTGTGCAACGCCTGACTCAGGGAAAAGAGAAAACGCGAAGGCGGTCGAAAGCAGCGCTTCCTGATAGGCCAATGATAGGGGCTAGGAGGAGGACAACGATCAAGACCCTCGACAGCAACCCTTGACAAAGAGTCATCGTGCCCGAAGGAAGAGTCTGCTGGAGAAGAAGTTCGGGCCATTCGCACCGAAGATCATTGCGAAGATGGAGATCCTGATGAGGCTGCGCCATGGGAAGGATATGTCACCGGTTTACAAGAAGATGATCTTCGGCAAAGAACAGCTTTGGAAACGATGAGATGTTAGCCAGCCAGTGAGGCCAGCATGCGCGGGCGGAAAGCCACACCAGGTCGGCCGTGGTATCCCTGTCGGAGGCTTGGGAGGGGAGGTCGAGGGGAATTGGGGATGGTGCATAAACGTGAATCGAAATACTTCGGATCTTCAAAACCCACGTGATGCTCTCGAGGAAACCGTGCACCCATCTAGTGTTCCCTGCTCATCGTGATGTCAGACTCGATCGACTCGATTGTGATCCGAAAGTATTGACACTTCGCGTATCCCCACCAGCACTGGGATTTAGTGACGGCGCGCGGCTCCTCCGCTTGCGCTCGCGAACAAACGAGTATCCCACCAGCTTGCCCACCAACCCTGCCCAGTCGACTTGCCTTGATCAGGGAAGAGGGGGAGTACAGTGGGGGCCCACGCCAAGAAACACCCCGCTTGCCTCCAGGGTGCCCTGGGTTTCGTGGGTTTGGTGGGTTTCGATGGCTGTGCCATGGAAAGCATGGCGCTCCCGCACCAAACATCAGTGGACGCTCTGGGGCCTCAGGGTTTCTTGTGGACTGGGCCCCACTGCACACAGAGGAACAAACAGCTGGGGAAGCCTTCGAACAGAGGCTTGTGCTCAGCCTGTCTTTGTAGGCCCAGGGGTGAAGCACGGGTGCCCT